AATCACTGTCATATATTGAATGATTAGTCAAGGGATACCAGTGTTTACATGAATACCTTTCTTGGGTTGAATTGACAACATGTTGATGCCGTGGCGTTGTGAAAATTGCATCTTTTTTGATCAAGGGCGGCAGTTTGAGGCGGCAAAGGGGCGTCAAAGTTACTGTGAGGGGGCGGCAACGAGGGCGGCAAGGGGCGTCACCGGGGGCGGCAGGGGGCGTCACGAGGGCGTTACCAAGGGCGGCAACAAATCTTGGGGGCGGCAGTTTCTCCGTGACAAGGGCGGCAATGTGACTAGAGGGGGCGTCAGTGTCTGGGCAAGGCGGTGTTAACTTCACATTCCCCGCATCGTAAATGACTCAATTTGGATCGAGAGAAAGAGTAGATCACACTCTAATTAAAGTCCCATGTTCAAAGAACTTCTAGTTCAGAATGCTTCCGAAATTCAACCAAAGTTCAACACTCAATATTGCAGATTGGGACAACTCTCAGGATTTGCTTCGTCAACTCAGAAATTCAGGTTGGGGGGACGAGGAAAATTCTTTTATCCCACCCATGTTCCTTCACGACTCAACTTTCAACCTCGTCGACACCGCACCTATATAATGATGGGGGCTGGAAAAAAAAAGTTCTTAGGTACCGTACCCAGGCTCCAGCCTGCCTACTAAAGTTTGAGTAGGTGTCTATGGCCTGCAGTAGGTCTGTAAATTTGTCTGGGCATCAAGTCAGACCGAAACTCGGGCGATGGTGCGACTCCGGCACAATGCAGGTAGAAGGCTATTTTTGTAATATCTCTGTCAGAACTAAAAAAATGACATTCTACTTCAGCCCGCATACATGAGACCCAGTACACTGTACGCCCCTCCTTCTATCTCAAAATTATCGCGCGACTCAAATTTTGGGGGCGGCAACGATAATGCGTGACGTGACATTGAGGGCGGCAAAGGGGCGGCAAAGGGCGTCACGGGCGGCACTTTCACCGTGCCCCCCCGAAAGCAGAGCAAGGCGCTCGAACGTAGCGAAAGGAAGGACGCACCATCGTCGAAAAACGGCACCCACGTCGCTAGAAAAAGACGCGTCAGCTCCAGTGTTGCACCACTTCGGTTCGGCGCGCCCATGGCCATTCGTACCGCGCTGAAAGAGGGGTGGTTGGTTAGCGGGTCCCGATGCGATTCGACAAAAGCAACGAAAGCCACAACGCACCTGACTCCGACTCCCCCCAACGTCGACGATGCGCCACTCGGTGCCGGTTTCGCGGCCCGTGGAGACCTGCAAGGACGGGTCAGCGGCTAATTCGTTGTGTGTTTATTTATTTATTCATTTAAGGGGAAGGAGAGCGGTGCGCGGCTCAGGCGGCGGACGCACGCCCACCGAAGAACGCAAAGGCGCTCCCGCGAAAGAGAGTGAAGAATCAAGAGTGAAGAATGAAGAATGAAGAGACACGAGAACCGGACGCACCTCCATCTCGAACGTGTACTCGGACACCCCGACGGTCTTGAGGCGCGCGCGGAGGACGTCGTCTGTGGGGAGTAGCGGTGTCGTTAGCGTCAGGCTGAGGACGATGATGAGGGAAGGAGAGGGGAGCGGGGAGAGCGGGCGAGGAGAGGGGGGGAGAAAAGGGAAGCGGGGCGTATGTATTCGACATCCAGTCGAAGGGGGTGTGCGAAGAAGGAGAGCGATGTACAAGACGACGGAGACGGAAAGTAAAATCGGTATCGGGGCGAGTAAGGAGGGCGCAAGAGGAATGTATTCGAATACGAGTACACGACGAAGTAGTTGTGAGTAGTGAATAGTGAAGAGTGGTGTGGAAACGTCGAAGTACACAGGAGTAGAAAATGGGGAGGGAGAAAGCGCCGAGAAGAAACAAGGAAAAGACCACACACCATCCGTCGGCAGGTAGTTCGGGCCCGTTACGCGCTCGAGGTCGTCCAGGAAGCTGTTTTTGGTTTGCGTGGTCAGTATGTGTATTGTGAGGCGGGTCAGAGCGGGGCGAGGGAAGAAGGAAGGAAGGAAGAAGGAAGAAAGAAGAAAGGAGGGTGGGCAGCGCGAGTGCGCAGGACGCCCCACACAAGGACAAGCGCAAGCACGGCTCCCCGAGAGTCCGCGTCCGGGGCAAGTCGTGCAACAAACGCGCGCGGCGCGCGGCTCCAGCGCCATCCCCTCGTCCCGCCCGCGCGGCCGCTTCTTGCCCCCCACAACCCACAACCGTTTCAAAGCGGGGCGAGGGAGGGAGGAAGGAGGAAGAAAGGGGAGAGGGCAGCGCCAGTGCGCAGTACACCCCGCACAGGCACAGGCACGAGCACGGCTCCCCGAGAGTCCGCGTCCCGGGCAACGCGTCCAACAAACGCGCGCGGCCGCGCGGCTCCAGCGCGATTCCGCCCGCGCACAGCCTCGTCCCGCCCGCGCGGCCGCTTCTTGGCCCCAACAACCCACAACCGTTGCAAAGCGGGGCGATGGAAGAAAGGAGGAAGAAGGAAGAAAGGGGAGAGGGCAGCCAGTGCGCAGTACACCCCGCACAAGCACAAGCACGGCTCCCCGCGCGTCCGAGTCCTCGTCCCGGGCAACTCGTACAACAAACGCGCGCGGCGCACGACCTCTCCCCGCCCGCGCGGCTGCTTCTTGCCCCCCACGACCCACACCCCGCACCTCTCACCCCGCACACCTCCCACCCCCACCCCACCCCAACCCCCTTCCCACCCCAAAACCAAACCCACAAAACCACCAAAAGAAAATCGACTCACAACCCCGGCCCCTCCTCCACGCGCACCTTCCTCCTGCGCAGCACCTCGCGCACGCCGGGGTCCGCCCACAGCGCGTGCATGGCGGGGAAGCACGCGTGCAGCGTCGGCTGGATGTCTGCGTCCCAAGGAGAACTTGAAGAAGAATTTGAAGGGTTGGTAGAGGAGGGGGGAAGGGGGGGGAGGGGGAGGGGGAGCGCGTGCGGCGGCGGCCTGGGGGTGGGTTAGTGGGGGCGGTAGCGGTGGGAGGGGGGCTGGGAAGAAGGAAGGAGGAAGGAGGGAGAAAGAATGTGAACAGGTGCAAGAGGGGAAAACGGGATGGGGGGGCGAGGTAGGGAGCGGGATGGAGGAGGGGTGAAGGAGAGATCCTGGCGAAGGAGGAGGGACGTGGAGAAGGGGAGAAGGTGGAGGGCCGCGGAGGGGCGGAAAGGTCAAGTAAAGGTCAAGGTGGAGTGTCATCTAACCGTGTACGCGGGGAATATGCGTAGACGAGAAGGGAAAGAACGAAGGAAACGCACCTGCACCCTTCCACCTTCCCCCCGGCCGCACGAAAATCTCCCCCGTCGACGTCGAGGCCAGCGTCGACCCCGGCAGATACGCCGGCTCCTCCTCGCCCGCAGCTGTAGGAACGAGCCGCGCGATGAGCAGCGCCTCGACGTGCCGCAGGGGGAGGAGCGCGAGCTTGAGCGCGTCGAGGGTGATCGTGTTGCCGCTCCCGCCTTGGAAGCCGTTTGCACCAGGCGGCGAGCTCGAGCGGAAGCCGTTGGGTATCGGCGGGGGCGCGTTGGCGAAGCGCGACTGCGACTGCGCCTGCGCCTGCTGTTGGAGCTGGTGGTGGTACGCGAGTGCGCCGCTAGGACCCGCCCCGTAGTCGCCGACACCGTTGCGGAACACAGGGACGGAGGTGCCGCCAAAGTCGGCGCCGCCGGGGTCGGACTCGACGTCCGAGTCGACGCCGGGGGAGGCGTATCCGCCGGCGCTGTCGTACCCCGCGTCGTAGGGGTCTGCACCGTGGTAGGAGGGGGAGGAGGGCCCGGCGTGCGCGGTGCTCGGGTACGGGGACGTAGGACTCGCAGCCAAAGCGAGCATGGAGGCAGACGCGGCGCTGGGGCGGCGGGTGCGCGGACGCGAGGGCGCTCTGGAGCTAGGGGAGTACGAGTTTGTGGGCTCGAGGGCCTCGAGGATGGTACGGATGGAGCGGACGACGTTGAGCTGGATGACTGCGCGCCAGAGGATGCGCTCTTCGCGGAACGCGGTGGGCGTGTAGAGGCGTTGGAATTCTAATGGGGGATAAATAAAATGGTTAGCAATATACAAGGACGAACGGACGCCTCAAAGTTGTGCTCTTCCCGCTCTCGCTCTGGCCCAAGAGCAGCAGACGCACGATGCGCTTCTTCCTGCGCGCCTGTCTTTCCGCCTTGATATCCGCGTCGATGGCCGCACTGACCCGCCGCGCCTCCGCCTCCCGGGCCTCCCGCACCGCCGCTTGCTCGGGCGTCTCGTCTGGCGGAGGGCGCAGGACGGCGTCGAGGGGGTCGTCTGAGGTGTGCATCCGTGTCTTCTGTTGTTGAAGTTGAACTTGGTTGAAGTGTTCCAGGCACAGAAAGCAAAGGCTCCGAAGGAAGACATCCAACACCGCCTCACAACTCTTAAATACGATGCTTACATGAGCAGGCGATGCCAATCTGCCTCCGGCCGCGCCCAACTCTGCTGTGCCTGATCGTCCACAGCCGTCTATCTCCTTGAGGATTCCTCTCCCGCTTCCATTGTCGGTTGGGAATCTATCTCCGACCACCCTCCAAGTCCAACCATCGTGCCTACCACTCCAATCGCAATCAACGCACCCTCCTCCCATGCCCACCGGCGACTCACCCTCCGCCGAGACGACTGCTTCACGAAATTAAACTTATTCACCGAGGGCTTTGTGGCTTCCGCGGTCGTTGTGGCTTCATCTTCGACTCCCTTTCTTTCTTTATCTACGCCGAACGCATCGCACCCGCCGTGCCGTGCCGATACCCTACGATACAAGCCTATTTCCCTTCTCCTTCTCCTTCCTTGCCTCGGGCCTAGAACCGCGTTCCAACCAACTAAACGAGTCTCAATCACCTCCTTCCAGAACTTCCTTCACGCAAACATGTCTGTCTATTTATGCCCAGGCACAACGTGATGGGGTCAACGGAGGACGGAGGAGATGGAGGACGGCATTTGTTTCCCGGATGGAGGAGGTAAGTGAGTCATCAAACTACCACGATGTGCAAACGTCGACCCGATGGCACAGCTGGTTACTGCGTCTGCCCTTCTTGTTTCCAACCCTTGTTTGTGCGCAGAAGACCCTCGTTCGAACCGGGGTCGGGTCATTTCCCACTAGTGCGACACTTTTTGCGTTTTGCGATAAAAACAAATTGTGCTCGGGAGACTTCGTACTTTTTACTGCGGTCTTTCCTTCCGCACATTTTCGTTCCGCCCTCAGGCATTTCCTCTCCCTCAGGCAGGTCATCTTGTTCCTAACTGTGCTTGAGTGGCGAAGAACGGACAGTCTCACGGTTGTGTGTTCAACATTCTTGAACTCGAAGTAAGAATGCAAGACGGTAGTACCCTTATTCCCAAGACTGGCAACGACCCGATGGCACACGTCTGCTAAAGATGCATCTGAGTTTGCGTTCAGCACGTTCGATCCGGGGTCGGGTCATCCATTTCTTCGCACACATTTTTGTCTCGACTCCGTTTTTCTTCTTCTCCCGCTATCGAACCGCGTTGTTTTATTCATCCAATTGTTTATGCAAGAGACTGTACAGTGAAGCTTCAGGGATGAATGTTTCCAGTGTTCCAGTGTTCAACCCAAACATCAGTTGAATTGACTTGAGGAAATAGATACATATTAGTACTTTGAGGATGGAAGGTGTCACGATCTGAGAGCACGGTGGTTAGTGCGCGGAGGTACAGAGGTAATAAGCAGAAGGCGCTCGTTCGATTCGGGGTTGGATTATATCGCATGGCGCTTGTTTTTCTTTTTCTTTCTCTTCCAATTTCTTCTTATTCATCCTCGGCTCACCACATTCCTCTTCATATTCTACTACAATATAAATCCGTCACTCTGAAGAAGTAGAGTCCTCACAACATTTATCTAGCGTGGTTCAAACATCTTCAAGGCAATATTAATCTCCCAAGCTGAATTCACGGTAGGTTGGTTACATATCATATGGTCACCTTCAATACCCTTGTTCGGTCTGGGGTTGGGTCTGCGCAGTTATGAGGAGTCTTTTTTTCATTTTCATTTTTTTCTTTCTTACTCCTCTACTCGGAGGATCCTTGTGACTTTCTGTAAGAGTCTGAGAAAACTGAAAGTACCAAACCTTGAGATGTGTACCCAAGTACTGCTTCGGGCATCTCGGGCTTGTTATGGTTAAAGTTTACTGTGGGTATACTCTCCTTAGGGCAATGACCCGGTATTATTGTACACAGTGTGTCCTGCGCATTGGCCCTTTGATCACTGTAGCAGAAGACTCCCCAGGCCCCTGGGGTCATATCCTCAATACATGGATTGCTTTCACCCCTGCGCATGCCGCAGCCGGTTTCACATCCCAGAACACATGTGTCTGCTGTTTTATCCAGAAGTCTCGTTCAACGCCACTGCCCTCCCAAACTTTCAATTTGAGACACGAACCAAGAATCACTGAAGCCAACAATTAATTTTCGACTGTTTGGGCATCTCGGGCTAAGAATTCAACTTGAACTTCAGCCTCTGTAATTTACGTCAGACACTTACTTCCATTCACGGAGGCTCGTAAAATTCTCCAATGGCTCCGAATGCCTTGATCCGCTTCTTCCATTGCCGCCTACATAATTCATCTGACGAACATTACGGTGTGGGCGCATGTAGGTCCTCTTCTTGATCTTCATTTTCCCTCTTCCATTGTTCCTTCCGCCTCTTCCTCTTCCGTCCTATCTCCGTACCATTGCTCCTTCTCATTGCCGCCTACATAATTCATCTGACGAACATTACGGTGTGGGCACATGTAGGTCCTAGGCCTCTTTTTGATATTTATTTTCTCTCTTCCTTCCATTGTTCCTTCCGCCTCTTCCTCTTCCATTCTATTTCCATGCCACCGGTCCCTCCCTCAACGACGTCTTTGGACTTCTGCCGCCGGTTAGACAAGCGCCCACCGCCCACCGCTGAAACACATCCGTCTTTTGACCACAACGACTGTCATTACCTTGAGCATTTTTTAGAACTTGGTTTATGGTGTTGAGTCCTGAGTCCTGACCAAGCATACAGCCCTCACCGGACATTTAGAGCACGAAAACGTGTGGTGTAGTAAATTTCGGTCGATTTATACCAGCTTGGCGCGGTTGGAAGTGGTGTAAAGATGCACGCACACATGTGCAATGGATGGCGCACCCACACGGACCCACACACGGCCCTACGGTGTCCGGCATGCGGGCATGCGGTCGGGGTGGAGTGCAGTTCGGTATGTGCAGCTGAGTTGAGACAGGATACCTATATTACTGAGATCGGTATCTTGGCATCAAATAAATATGCGGAACATTGGCTGTGGATTTCCGGCTGTGTCTTGCGGTTTGAACAGGATTATCCCGGGGAGCCCCGTGGGGCGGTGGGGCTGACTGACTAGTTTCTCCTCGCGCGCGCACGGCGTCCATCCAGTCATCCGTTACGCCCGCACGCCTGCGGGACCGCCCAAGAGATTGCCATCGGTGTTGCAATTTGCGGTGGGGGGTAATAATCTCCGCTGAATAATTCATGAAAGCCGAAGATACGCACCTCGAGGTCTCTGGAGGCCTTCCATCGCAATGCGGAGAGTTTCCATTGGATACCCGACGAGTAGTAGGCGGAACGTTAATTAATTGATACGGCATCACCAATTCCCACGGTTCGAAATGTCGTCTCCGCGCGCGCTTAGCTTTGCTCATCGACATATTCCATATTCCAACTTGAATGATCCTCGATGCTAAAAGAGGAACCAAATAGCCTTCTGCTTGCGGTGCCTGCAGCTCGCATTCGAGACATCACTGATGTTGATGTCCCGGGGCTCGTTTCTCAACCTTCCTCGAGTTTCTCACTCTGCCATTTCGGAAAACATCTCAATATCTGTGACTATGAGTGTCTCGGTGGGTCACAGTGAATTGCAGGGGATAATTCCCACGGGAAACGACTCCCATGGTTTGGGCTCGAACGAGCCTGAGGATTCCGCTCGGGTTGCATTGAATTTTCCTCCAGGCCATCCAATACGGACAATGTTTTTTTTTGACGCCATAGAACTTGAAACACACACTCAGAAATGGGTGGAATGTAATTCACCACCAAAGACAGTGCCTGACCAAGCAGATTAACTCTGAACCTCCCTCCCTCTCCATCAATTCACCGAGGGACAATTCGGGGATCCTTGAGGAAATGATTTTGGACATCGTTAAAGTAGAAACTAGGATGGAAACATGGAAGCCGACAAATCAAAGAGCTGTGAAAAGACCAATATCCGGAGAAACTTTACCAGGCTATAATTCACCAACACCAATAAAAATTCACAAGATTTTCCAATCCAAGCAGTGGTTGAGAGTGCCTGGCGAGGAGAGTGAGACAGAGTCATTGAAGCGGTGTATTTGGTGCGGGTACCATTGCAGGACTCCGTCTTGAACCGTGGCAGTATGCTGGCCGCAATTACCATGCCTAAGACTTAATCCAAGTGTGGTCCTAGAGTGAGAAAGTGAAGAGCCCCAAAGGCAGAGCAAATTTAGGTTGATTTCTGCAAATATTCAGCGGTTTTGACCGCACTGTAGGAGGAAGCCCGAGATGGCCGAGGTTAAATATTGAAATTTCTGGCTTGCAAAGAAAACTCTGCGCATCAGCAAAAGTCAGTCTTGGCTTGGTGACTGCACCAGTATCTGAAAATTTTATCAGTTCCCGGCACTTGAAACTGTCCTAATGAATACCTCTCTTCAGATTAAATTGATTTCCTGTAACAAAAACACTGATTGTACAAACCTTGAGGCCTCCCCTTCAGTGTTGTCAGGGTCAGACGGAAAAGGTCAAAGGGGTCAGGAGTGGTTTGACAGGTCAAGAAACTAAACCGTCATTGACCGGTTTTTGACCGGTCAACAACCTAAAGCAGAACTAGTTCTCACGGAATTGATTTGCCATCTGTGCTTGCTTCCTTGTTCGCTTCGCGTCTGCTTCGCGTGCCCAATCGCGCGACGACGCGCCTTTTGTATCCCTCTCTTCTCCTACAGTCGCTATGCCCAACGAATCACCCATCTGGGACGCCTTTTACTCCAATAAGTCGAAGTATAAGAGCAACAACAGCAATAAGAATGCCTGGTGTTACGCGCAGTGTTCGCCCTAAAGGCCTTTATGGCGACCCGAAATTTTCCAAAGGCCTTACAAAGGGCAAAGGCTTTGGTCAAAGGGCACGACAAAGGCCTTTGATCAAATTCCCACGCGGTCTGACACCGGCAATTTTATTTGTGGCCAACACGATTTCTACGCACGGTACTCTTCATCTGAGTCTATCTCCACACCCATCGTCTGGAATGTCATCCTCAGCAGCATTGGCCAGCTCTTCCATCATGATTTCCTCCGCTTTCATGACCTTTGTGGACGGTTTGCCTCAAGTTTGCCTGTATGAAGTTCCGTCCCGCCAAATAACACCTGCAGTGTGAGTGGTTTCCATGCAGGACGTCGGTGCGAGGAAAAAAGAGAGAATCTCAAAATGACAAATCAAAATGATGTCGCATACACGTGAGCACCAAAGGCTTTGGCAAAGGGCAAAATTTTGAGTCAGATCCCCAAAGGCCTTTGCAAAGGCTCCTCAAAGGCCTTTGGCTGACAAGGGCCTTTGCCCTTTGGGCGAACACTGGTTACGCGGAGCTGGAGATTGTCATCGCGCAGGAGAAGCAGGTGCAGGCTCTCGCGGCAGCACATAGCTCAGTGCAGGCCCCGGTTCGGACAGAAAAGGAATGGAACGAGTGGGGTGCGTTGGAAGAACCCTTTAAACCCATGCATCTGAACTTAGACGCGGCCAAGGTACAACGAAAGTAGCTCCGATTTGCGGCAAAGGAGACGTTATGCGTGTACATCTAACCAAGAAATGCCCGGTAATTAAAGCATCATTGGAGCGGCAACAGCATCGCGACGCGCTGCTAGCTCGCGTTGATGCTGAAAAGACTCAGCCATCCCAGCCGCCTCCATCTTCAAGTTCGCGCTCATATAGCATGCCACCACCCGTGTCCTCGTTCCCTCGGTTTTCGCCAAGTCCGCATCATGCTCCTCATTACTCTCCTTCCCCCTCTGCTCCGCCGCTTTCGCCGTTGTTCCCGTTCGGGTCACTTGCAGGATCTGCCCTCT